AGTATGAAGCTTTAATAAGTTGTAGTTATGCACAATTTACTTGTAATCTTAAATTTTAAGTAATATGCATCAATAAACAGTACTTCGTGCATAAAAAATCGTTCTTAAGAGTTTTTGTCAAATGCTTTATAATATAGTATAGATATACTTTCAAAATATTTTTTAAATTCATACAAGATTTCTCTCGTATCATAGCGTCTCTAATTGTATTGACAAAAAATAATGTGAAGATTGAATGGAAAGAAGCACAAGTCGGGGCCTTTCGAACACTAAAAGAAAGATTGTATAGTGCATCGATTCTATCTGTGCTTGACGGTTCAGAATATTATGTAGTTTACAGTGATGCTTCTAATTTGGCTATCGTTTGTATATTGATGCAACGAGGGAAGGTTATTATACATGTTTCCTGTCAACTGAAAGATCACGAGAGACAATACCCCATTCACGATATGGAATTAGCAGTCATTGTATTTTCTTTGAAGACTTGGAGACACTATTTGTACGATACCAAATGTAGGTTTTTGCTGATCATAAAAATCTTCAACGTTTCTAATAAGTGGGAACTGAATATGAAACAAATACGGTGGTTAGAACTGGTAAATTGATTACAATTGTGAAATTAGGTATCACACGGGAAAAGCGAATGTGATAACCGATGCTTTGAGCCGTAAGAAAATATTGGAACGATCAAAATGAATTGCATTACGAGCCAAGTTAATACCGAGTATTTTTGACTAGTTATTAAAGTGTTAGATCGAAGTTTTGAAAGAAGCAAACTTAAATAAGGAGTGACTCGTTGATATGACATCCGTTCTTGTGAAAGACGATCAAGGGTTAATGTGTTTTGAAAGCAGAGTTTGGGTAATATCAGGGAGAGGATTTTGAATGAAGCTCATAAGTCTTGTTATTCTGTTCATTTGGGTACTAATAAGATGTATCGAGATTTGTGACAGTTCCATTGGTGGTCGAGTATGAAGAAATATTTTGCACAATATGTAGAAAAGATGTTTGACTTGTATGCAAGTTAAGGTGGAGCATCAACAACTCTATGAAAATCTACAATCGTTAGAAATTCCGATTTGGAAACGGGACCACATCATAATGGAATTTCTGACGAAGTTACCGAGAACGCCAAAAGGTTTCGATGCTATCTGGGTTATCGTCGATCGACTTTCTAAATCATTTCATTTCTTACTTACTAAAGAAACGTATATGATGGAAAGGGGTTAGAAAAAATTTATATCAATGGAGTGGTAACTCCACACGGAGTTCCATTATCTATTATATCAGATAGAGACAATTGTTTTACTTCTCTGGAGGAGTTTCCATAAAGAAATGGGATCACATATAAAGTTAAGTACAACTTATCACCCACAAACTAACAATCAGAGTGAAGGGACAATATGGACAATCGAAACATGTTGCGCACTTGTATTATTAATTTTAGAGATTCGTGTGAAGGGAATTTACATTTGATTGAATTTTCTTACAACAACAGTTATTATTCCAACATTCAAGCGACACCCTTCGAGGTATTGTACAACGAAAATGTAGAATATCACCATGTTGGAATAAAGTGTGAGAGAAACAGTTAGCCGGATTGAAAATTATTCAGTTAACGGCAGATAAAATACGAAGAAAGGTAAATCGATAGAGTTTCGGTTTACGGATAATGTGTTGTTGAAAGTTTTTGCGTGGAAAACGATCGTTCGTTTTAGTAAGAGGGGACCCAAAAATCCTAATTTATTCAATTGATTGAATTACAGGATGAGATTCCTTTAGGGGAGATGGTGTAATACCATTAGATTATCTCAATTTTATAAAGTTTGAAAGTCTAGGGGGTTTTAGTGCTATTTGACAAAAGTCAAGGGTTTTGTTTGATAAGTAGGTTCATATAAAAAGGCTACATACTCTCTTTTCTTTCCAATACCGACAATCACTGTTCTTATTTGAGTATGTGTACTCTTTGAGAGTTTTACTCATTTAAGTGAATTGTGGTGCATGATCGTTAAAGAGGAAACTAAGGGGCTGTTTGGCAATTGTTGAATGGTTTGGTGTAGAATGATTAAGTGATCAGAATGATTAAGAAGCTCTCATGATACAGTGCAAAATGAAATATAATTGTTTGGTAATTGTGTACAATAAAATTATGGCTCTTAATTGTTAAGGGAGATCAATGATACAAAATATTTCAGATGGTTTTAGAACCATTAAGAGGCAGACTCTTTTTTACAAACAAGAATCACCTCTTAACGATTCAGAGGTCGCCTCTTAATGAAACTATTAAAAGGTAAACAAACAACCCATAATTTTTGGAGATTTTTTAGTTTAACCCTAACCTTCATCTTACAGTTATTTTAGTTATGTTTAATTTTTGAGTTTAGATCAAGGGTATGGTGGTTTATGGTTAATTGTTGGTATCCCATTTTGAATTGGTTTTGGGGTTTAATTCTAGTTGATCCCTTTTTGCTTAGCTGAGTTTTGAGTGTTGTACTCGAGATTTTTATTGATTTTTGAGTTTCACCATCTTAAGTTCAGTTTAACCCTTTTGGTAGGCTTTTGAAGTTCAAACGTGTTGATTTTATTATTAAGGATGTTTTCACACCTCCAAATAGATGTTTTCATGAGTTTTGATCATGGAATTTAAGGGTGATGGCAATTTTGAGCATAAATCTGATTGTTGGAAAGTAGCAGGTTGTAGCTGGGTAAAACATGGAAGAAGATGAATCCAGTGAGTTGTGCGACCTCAGGTCGCTGCACTAGTCGCATAAGTCACTGTGTTTTCATTTTCTGTTTTTTTTCTCGTGTCGTTTTGGGATCCATCCTCAAATCATTTTTGTGTTTTGGTGATTTTAGAGGTGTTCTTAAGATTTGGTGAAATTTGAATTGAACACGAACGTATAGGTTGAATCTGTATTATCCACTGACTTGAGCAACTACATTCGCGATTTTGGCCACGTGGCAAGTCGCGTAAGTTACTGTAGTGTGGCTTTTCAACTTTTGCCTCATGTCATTCAGGGATTTTTCAAGGTACCATTTTTGTGCCTCGGAGAATGTTTAGAGATAAGGTTGAGTCTGTCTCTCTTAATTTTGATATATGCTTAGCTTATTGATATTCAAGTGTTCGGTTGTGATTTCTCGTTTAGGTTAAAGTTTATACCTTCATTTATCATATCAAGGTGAGTTTTCTTAAAACTTTTTCAAACTGAAATGCATATGTTATCAAATAATTACTACTTTGATATTATACCATATTGGTTTTTTAAATTGTTACCTTTAAATGTGTTATGGTATTGTTACAGCAGGTTGTGCCAGAGTGCCAACTTTATAACAAATGGGGATGTTGTGCCTGAGTCTGACTTGTGACTAATTGGGATGTTCTGCATGAGTATCAAATTTATAATTAACTGGGATGTTATGCCTGAGTGCCAACTTTATAAATGGGATGTAGTGATTTGAGAACCTACTGTATGATTACTGATTTTGAAAGGTTTTATATGAATTGATTTTATTGCATCATTACACCGTCAGAGATTTCCTCAATAGACCGTATGGTCTATCCTTCATTTTATTTTCAAATATATGCATTTCAGGGCAACCTCGATTAGAATATAAAGGGAAAGGGGAAATGTGAGATTATCTGTTTGGACATTTATAAGTGAAGCCGATCAAGGATTATTTAGAAGTCTGTTTATGATCTCCATGAAATATGAATTGTTTTGTATGTGAACGATATTACCAAAAAATTTGTTGTAGTTTTCAAACATTTATTTGTATAGTACATGCAGGGCCTCTGGTTTCCTACTTAACCCTTATGTGTGAAGGTTCCTCGGCCCATCTTACAATCGTTCCAGTCTCTGTTCGACACGTGTTAGGAAACATTTGTTACAATCAGACACATGGAGGCAGCAGATTGGTTAATGCATTGATTTTGCAAGGATATTATTTCTAAAACATTCCTTATTTGGAAACGTCTATAAAAGAGTATTTCCTCCAAGGCAATAAGAACAATCGACAATAGAGAATTCACATGAGAGTCGATTATGGTTTTGAGAGAGTTTTGTAATTTCCATTTCACTCAATAAAGAAAACAATTGGTTTATATTCACCATCTTTTACAATCTCTCGTTTTTCAATGTTTTAATCTTGTTCTGTTTTGGATCTGGGTCCAACAATTGGTATCAGAGCCAAATCGATTAGCTTTTATCGATACGATTTATAAATCTACAATAGTTTCAAGATTTTTATTTTAACAGTACTCATCCGGGAAATGCTTCATGTTCGACTGCTATTTGGACCAAAATTTATCCCGATTCACCATATTTTTTATGTTTTAATCGAATTCCTTTTTAAGGGATTTGTTTTTGAGTGAATACAAACCTATTTTGTCATCAAAATTGGGTTTATTTGATGAATTTTTGGGTGCAGTCGAACTTATTGGACTTTGATACTGTCAGATCTATGCTCGTCGCCCAATGCGTGAGCGATAAAGATGAGTTCATGGTGCTGTCTTCCTAAGACTTGAGCGATTTGTTGCCAAATCTTGCTCATCGCCCATCTTATGAGTACTTGTTCATCATATCTCATTATGGATCTATGTGCGCTTAAAGAAATCTTTGTCAAAATCGACTGTGCTTAATGATAAAGATGATATTTCATCAACATATGTCCTGAGAAGCATCAACATCATTATTGTCAATGTTTGAGAAAACGATCATGTATTTATTTTTGAATAAAATATACATTTCAAGATATCATAAAATTTTGAAAAAAATACATCGATATTAATATCAAATTAATTATTAAAAGTTCTTGGTTTTTTGTGTAATTTATTTAATTCAACTTTTTTAATAATTTAATTTAGGTTTAATAACGAACTAATTTATTTTTGATTTAACAATATAATTTTTTATAAAGATAATAACTAAGTGTTATGTTAGAACACAATGATTATTCTAAATATATTTTAGATTTTATATTTAAAATGAAATGTTAATCCTATATTCGATTATGTTTATTTACAGTTAGTTATACGAATACAAGCATGATGTTTTAATAAGTTGTACAAATACACTATTTACTTGTAATCTTGAATTTTAAGTAACATGCATCAAAAAATAGTTTTTAAGAGTTTTTGTCAAATGCTTTATAACATAACTAGAAGGGTACTCGCGCAATGCAGCGAGATACATTTTGATTTTAATATTTTATTTTATTCTTTATCTCAGTTGATGTTATAATATGATCTTATGTGATTTTGAAAAAGGAATGATGCTTTTATTTTTTAATAAAATATAAATTTGAAGATATCATAAAATTTTGACATAAATATATCGGTATTAGTATCAAATTAGAAGAGTGATCGCGCAATGTAGCAAGACACATCTCGATTTTAATGTTCTATTTTATTATTTGTCTTTGTCGATGTTATAATACGATTTTATGTGTTTTTAAGAAAACAATAATGATTTTATTTTTGAATAAAATATAAATTTGAAGATATCAAAAAAATTTGAATAAAAATGTATCAATGCTAATATAAATCAACTATTTAAAAGTTCTCATTTTTTTATGTAATTTCTTTAAAAAAATTTATTATAATTTAATTTAAGTTTGATAACGAAATAATTTATTTTTGGTTTAATGATAGAACATTTTATAAAGATAATAATTAAATATTCTGTTAGAACTCACTGATTATCCTAATTATATTTTAGATTTTTATATTTAAAATGAGATGTTTATCATGTATTTGATTATATTTATCTGCAGTTAGTTATATAAATTCAGATATGAAGTTTTAATAAGTTGTACTTACGCACAATCTACTTGCAATCTTGAGTTTTAAATAATATGCATTAATAAACACTACTTTGCACATAAAAAATTGTTTTTAAGAGTTTTTATCAAATGATTTCTAATATAGTATAGATTATGTGTTTTTAAGATAACAATAATGATTTTATTTTTGAACAAAATACAAATTTGAAGATATCATAAAAATTTTAAAAAAATTATATCAACGTTAATATCAAATCAACTATTTAAAAGTTTTCATTTTTTATGTAATTTCTTTAATTTATTTTTTTATTATAAATTAGTTTAATAATGAAATAATTTATTTTTGATTTAATAATATAATATTTTATAAAGATAATAATTAAGTATTTTGTTAGAATTCAATAATTATCCTAATTATATTTTAATTTTTTATATTTAAAATGAAATGTTTATCCTGTATTTGATTATGTTTATTCGCAGTTAACTACAAAAATTCAAACATGGAATTTTAATAAGTTGTTTTTATGCATAATTTACTTGTAATCTTRAATTTTAAGTAATATGCATCAATATACAGTAATTCATGCATAAAAAATGATTTTTAAGAATTTTTATTAAATGTTTTATAATATAATATATATATAATAAATAAACTAATATTCACTTCGACAATTCTATAGATTTAAGGTTTTATTATAAAAAAATTGTTCCATAATATCACATGATTCTATTTAAATGGTTTACTAGTGTAAGACGTTGTTTGGTTCATTGAATTCGAAGAATTTCAAGATAATCGGAATGGTCAATTTTTTTTCTTGACTACATTCCATTTTTTTTTTATTTGATTCACGTTTTGAATTATAGGAATTTTCTCAATTTCATTGAATTTCTTAAATTAAAGATTTCAAAAGCCTCCAATTCTTTTAACAATTCCATCGAACCAAACGTGTGGTTTCATTTCATTTTTATTTTTTCAAAGTTAAAATTTTAATTAAAATCAATTTTTTTTGATAAATTTTAATTCCATCAAATTTCATTCTATGAACAAAACAGCCTCTGAAATATTATACAAATAGATCGATGAATTTTATACGTTAAAGAAAATATATTATTGTTATTTAGGGTTTTGATATAACGAGAAAAATTTTAACGAGTTTTTTACGTCAATTTTGCCATTATATATTTTACTTATAAACCGGGCAATTAGGGTTTCTTCCATTCCCAGCCGACTGCAGAAGAGAGCCGCTGCTCTTCATCACAGTGACCACATTACAGGTAATGTGAAGGGTTTTGTTTGCTTTATTTGTTTAATCGATTAGAACCCTCAGCAAATTTGCTTTGTTCCTGTTTGTTTACTGGATCCCTTTTGAAGGTTTTTACAAACGAAATATGTGCATTCAGTAGTAGCGTATAGTTTGATTCGTATGTATTTTAGTGCTCTATAAGTTTTAGATTTTCACTTCTTTTTCTGGATATAGTTGGGGTATGATAACATTCTTCTGGATTTAGGAGGATTTCTGTGAATTGAGTAACATTTGGATTTGATTTTCGGGGTTCTGTTAGCTCTTGAAATGTAGACTTGAAGCTTTTGTCTGAAATGAGGGGATTTCGAATATAGTACATCGTTGTGGCAATCCATTTAGATTGAGTAATTAGGTTTCATTCGTGTAAACCATCAAGATTCATCATTTTGTGGATCTATTCTTTTCTCCTTTGTTAAGTAAATGACACTTGCAACTTGCAACCGCTGTCTGGTTCGTTCTATCGAAGTGGGAATCAATAAGCCGAAATGTTGAAGACTCAAATTAAATAGTCAATTGGTGATTAGTTTGTGTTTTTTAAAACATAAATTAAACAGATTTTTACCTTATGATTGAGATGTTAACTAATGCATGAGCTGTGGTTAAATTGCTTTTGATTTTAGCATACTGTGCAATTATGTCTTTGATGTTGGAAATAAAGTATCTGGGTCCATGCCATTTTCAGGTATATAGATAATAACCAATGGCACCCCAGCAGAGGAAACCCCATGTGTGCAGGAACCCTGATCTGATCAGAGGTGTTGGCAAGTATTCCCGGTCAAAGATGTACCACAAGAGGGGTCTTTGGGCCATCAAGGCCAAGAATGGTGGTGCTTTCCCTAAGCACGAGAAAAAAGCCGTTGCTGCTGCTCCAGCGGAGAAGCCGCCAAAGTTCTACCCAGCTGATGACGTGAAGAAACCTCTCGTCAACAAACGCAAAGCCAGGCTCACCAAGCTCAGGTGTATATATAGATATATTGCAGTACATATTTATGCTCCGTGACTCTGTGTGCGTGGGTGTATATAATATGTATTGAATAAGCTTGTTATATGCATGATGCAGAGCTAGTATTACTCCTGGAACTGTGCTGATTATATTGGCTGGAAGGTTCAAAGGGAAAAGGGTTGTTTTCTTGAAACAACTTACATCTGGATTGCTACTGGTTACTGGTAATGTTCCTTTTTCCCCTTTCGGGTTGTTGAAATAAACATCTTCTTTATGAGAAATATCAGTGCTTGTGATAGTTTCTATCTATTTCTATTTGAAATTAGAATTGAGTTCACTTCCATGTAACTGTATTTTGTTATCCTTTGTGCAAGTGCTCTTTTTTTCTTAATGTTTTCAAATAAGGACTTTCATTGGAGAGAGTTCATTATGAGGATCGTTTTTATGCAGAAGAATGGAATATTGCTTTTAGCTGAACATATTCGTCAATGATGTGTTTTTAACTTGTGAAAGACGAAATTGGAAGGATGCTTTGACATGAATTATAGTCTTAATGGGTTCCACAAGTTCACCGTTTTCTATCTTTCTTCATCTGAATGCGTGGTGCTTTATATATGGCTTGGTGCATTTCGATTTTTAACAAAATGTTCAATAGTTCTATATCAGCTTTGAAGTTAGAAATGTGGCATGCTCGACTTTCAAAAGTCAAACCATTTTGTAGCTTTGTTCATTTTTTTGCTCCCGAGTAGGTTCTGATTTATGATTGTTCTAAAACCTAATATTGTAACTGCATCCATACATGCCCTGCATTTGTAGGCATTTTTGTAACTTATGTTCATCTGTTGTGTTCATCTTCTTAAACCCGTCCTGTTTAGGGTTTTTTTTGTAACTTGTATTCATATCTGTTTCGTTAGCGTTTTAAACCCATCCTTCAATTCTTAGGGCCTTTTAAGATCAACGGTGTTCCTTTGAGGAGAGTGAATCAATCGTATGTGATTGCCACATCAACTAAGGTCGACATCTCCGGAGTAAATGTGGAGAAGTTCGATGACAAATACTTTGGAAAGCAAGTTGAAAAGAAGAAGAAGAAAGGAGAGGGCGAGTTTTTTGAAGCTGAGAAAGAGGTAACACTCATCTTCTCCCACTCATACACAAACACCTGTAAATCGATGGTATTTATGCTTCACTTAACTTATGTGAATGCATGTATAGGAAAAGAACACGCTCCCACAGGACAAGAAAGACGACCAGAAATCCGTGGATGCTGCTTTGGTAAAATCGATCGAGGCTGTTCCTGACTTGAAAAGCTATTTGGGTGCAAGGTTTTCACTAAAGGCAGGCATGAAACCTCATGAGCTCGTCTTTTAGATGAATCGTTTACATTAATTTTGTTTTCTTGATTATGAATGTGTCAAAACTCTAGATTTAGAGGCCACATTGTGTTGGTTTTCGATGGCTATCAACGACGAGATATTCTTTTTCTTACCTTATTCCTCTTGCTAGCATTTTTGGAATCTATACATTGATTGTTAATCTGCATCTTTGGTCTTTTTCACCCTGTAAGGCTTTTCTTGTGCAATTACATCATCTCTGCTTGTTTGTTTCATGGTACTTTGTAAGGGTGCATTTGGTACACTGACGATACTGCATATTAGTGTTTTAATTTGACATGGGTGGTTTAGTAATTTACCAAACTTGTTTCAACGTCTGAAGTCGTATAATGCATATTTGTCCATTCGGTCTTGTCTAGTCCCAATCTAATAGTTGGACCAAACATGTGATAACAAGTATTTGTTTTGTTCATGGGGGGTTTTCTGTTATTCAAACATCACATAGAAATTGAAAGTCAAACATGTTGCAAAACTAAAACAACAAAAGCACTTAGTAGTCGTCGGGCTCTTGCTTTTCTTGATGATTTGATGTGATTTATAGTAAGCTATCCGATCGAGCAGGCAGTCTCTTGAAGAAGTTGCTGGGAACCGAAGGCAACTTGCTTCGGAACCTAGGATGTCGTAATGTGTACAATCCCCCCACTAATGCGACCACCCGAAAAGGAGTCATGTAAAGAACGACTGCGGAGCAAAGGCTGAAAATGACAAAGAGGCTAGTGGCTCGAGGGTCTCGCCAGCTAAGCAATGACACTAGTCGCTCTCCTTGTGTAGCCACATCTCCCACCACAGTCTGAATCCTCCCGGCTATGCTTCGGATCCGGTCGTATCTCATCCGAACCGTGTCCGGCGGTCTTGATGTCGGGAAAGTGTCGAACTCTTCGTCGAGCTCGTCAGGGTGCACCGCCTCGGCCCACGAGAGTTTTGGGTCCATATGAGGCGGGTGGCGGGCTCGGAACCTGTAGTTCCAGAGACCGATCAAGAACATGTAGAGACAAATGGTAGGAAGTATGAGCTCGGGATACCATAATAGGATCAAAAACAAAATGTGAACGAGGACTGTCGTGATCGGGTTTTTCCATTCTCGGACGTTGGTGAACCACCGGCTCACGGAAAATAAACCCGAAATCAATGACATGATCCTGAAGAAGTTTGCTTTGCTTCTTCTCATACTCCACATGTGAGAATCGACATCTAACATGTACTCGACCACCTCTTTTCGAAGAGGCGGTTCGGCTCGACCAAGCCGAACCGCCACGATGTTCATGGCTTGGTACCGTAAAGTGTCGACTTGGTTGACCGTTAGTGGGTTCAGATAATGCATCTTGGGCAACAAAGGGCGGCCATACATGTAAACTGTGTTGGCTAGCGACAAGTTGGTGAACCGAACAGCGAGTTGGAGCTCACCCATCTTCTTCACCCCGGAGGGATGGAGTACGAGAAGTGGGTACGAATGTGTGTATATTCGATGAGCTTCAAGAGTCGATAACCGAATCCTTACCTTCCCGATTCTCGAGTCTCGCCCTGTACCTGGTTTTTCGTCTCCCAAATGACAGTTATCGAAAACGCCCATCGTGATGACCGTGCACGGATCGTAAACTTCCCACGTGTATTGCTCGTTCCATTTTGGATTCAGCGTGTCAAGAATTGTTCGTGTTCTAACCCATTTTTGTCCATACTTCGCCACACAGTAAGCATCGGTCGACCCTCGCCTATCTTTCATCTTCATCGGGAGCAACCCTTGCGCGCCCAAAATCCCGACTTCAAGAATCCCGCAGGGCGGCTTCCACAGTTGTTTTGCTGTCGGCCGTTGATCGCTGATGTACAATGTCGATTCATCGAGAACATGGTACCCCCCTTCTAAGCAAACCCGAATGTGTACTCTGCTCGAAAACTTCATTTCACCGAGCCCATACTTTTCGAGATTGAACCAGCGAGAATGAACCGGCCGATGGTCGAGCCGTTTCTCAAACATGGTCAACGGTAGGCTCAACGTCCCCAGAACCTCGTCTCTCGAAGGGTGAACTCGATCCTCAATCGTAAGAACCAAGTGTTCCTCAAATGGCTCGGCAGCAACAAACACAAAATCTTCATTCCATAGCGGATTCATCGTCCTCACAGAACTTATCTTCGTTCTCAGAACCTGGTTTCCTACTTGCACCTTCACGGAAACTTCCGGAAGACGTGACCTGTCATTCGGAATAACATCCTGAGCTTCTATAACATTCACTCGAATATACCAAAGTTTAGGCGACACATAAACTTTCGATCGGACGTTAAAAACACCTTCTCCTTGAGCAAACAAAGCGTCCGAATGCCAAGCCTCAGGGAACGCTTCATCGGCTTGTGTTCCCATCCAAACCGCAATCATGATCTCAGCTCCTTGGCCCCTCCGGTCCTCCAACCGGTACCACTGAGGAGCCAAAGGACTGTCCGGTGGAACTCGTGTCGGAACTTCATTCAAATCGAAAACCACTTTTCCGACATAATCGTCTCTTCCAAACATCTCCTTATCTTTTACGTAAACTTCTAAAGTTGACGACTGAACACGATCTTTTGAGAACGCAAACACCTGGTTCCACTCAGGGTTCGTTTTCTTCTCAAAATGCCTCGTTCGGCCTCGGTAATTCCCGAGCTTGACTTCGACATACGGGTCTGTGCCAACCGCAAGTTCCTTGGCCTTCACAACTCGAACGTAAAGATGGTAAGTTTGTTCAACGAGATCATACGTGCTTGTCGATCTCTCGCTGCCATAGGCTCCACCCTGCAGCCAACGCTCACCGAGTTGTGGGCTCGTGTCCTTGAGCTCGTAGTCTGCTTGTTCAAGAGTCGGATTAACGGGCTCGTGTTGCATCTGACGGTTTCTTAACCGGATCATTTTGAGGAGTTAATTTGTGTTATGGGATACGAGGATTAGAAAGGGTTTAAGACCATGAGTGTTGGATCTTCTTTTTCTTCATTCTTTGCTTGTTTGAAAAGTAACACCCCATGCATGCATGATGTGATCATTACTTGCTTTGCAAGTAACATCGAGTTCTGATTCTGGTGCTGCAGAAATAGGAGCCGAGAAAGAGGAGAAAGGAGGCAAGGCATATATTTCATAATTTTATGAATTAGTTTAGATTTTTTTTAATTAACCTGGATATCCAACCTGCTATGCGAGCCGACTAATCTCAGGACAACCATCTGCTTTGCTTTGCAGGTAGCCCGGAGTCACCGCATTTGAACCTTGTGGCCACGGAGGTTCAAATGCGGTGACTCCGGGCTACCTGCAAAGCAAAGCAGATGGTTGTCCTGGGATTAGTCGGCTCGCATAGCAGGTTGGATATCCAGGTTAATAAAAAAAATACTCGAGAACACATCGTTAATGCTATTAGTATGAAGGCGTCAACCGTGTAATCACAATCGGATGGATACTCATATGGCATTCGATTGCCATATGAGAATCGGTTCCTTCTGACTTATGTCTCGGTTGTTTTTGTTTTTATTTCACAAGTAACCGAGAATATGACGATGAAACTCGTAAAACAGAAATCGGAATTTGCATCGTAACTTGGTGGTTCTAAAATTCAGAAAGTAGAACCTTAAATTAAAAGTGGATTGATGATATGCTTTGCTTCATCACGTATGTGCTTTTTGAGTACATTCCATTCTTGCTTAGACAGGAACAAATGTGCAGAAACTTTTTGAAAGATTACAGAACAAGTTGAAAGCAAAAGGCAAAAGAAACCTTAATTAATATTAGGGGCCGTTTACCAAATGCTTACCCAAATAAATGTTTATCAAGTCACATTACCTTACCAGATAAATATGGTAAGGACCAAGAAGCTTACCCGGTAAGAAGGAGACAAAGGACCAATCTTACCATAGTAAGCACTTACTCTATAAGTTGTTGCATACGATGCCGTTTTGATGGACTAAAGTCTTACCCGGTAAGTAAGTGGTAGTGTTAAATTTTACCGGTAAGCGTTTACCGGGTAAGTGTTTGGTAAACAGCCACTTAGTTTTTAATTTTACGAGGGTATCCTTTTTTGATAACTTATGAAATTGTAGTAACTGTTAGAACTAGTGTAGCATATGATATTTTATATGATTTTTTTTCATCTATGACTATGATTTAAAATATCGATTAACATATATTTATTTCACAATGTGAACCTTTTTAGCTGTTTTGTGAAACAAAAGTTACACGTAAAAAAGTTTTACATTGTGAATTGCATACATATGAAGCTAACACGTTGTAATATATGTTCATCAATATACTAAATGTTAGTCTTAGATGAGAAAAAATCATGTGAAACAATACCTTGAGATAATAGTTCTTACGGTTATCACAATATATAGGTTCTAAACCTCAATTTTATGTATGTGTGTATATATATATATATAAGTTTTTCCTCTTGATTTTTTTTATATCTTGTAATTTGTTTTTAATTATTGAATTGATTATTCTTACTCGAAATCGTAGATGCATATTTAATTTTGATTTGCAAAGCATCTTATTTAGTACTAAGAGTTTTATACGTACAAGGAAACAAAACTGAAAACGTAGAAAAAAAAAGGGGTCAATCAATATCAAATACTAAAAATTGGAAAATTATAAAATGAACCAAAAGAGCTAAAAAGTGGTCTGTAACAGTGGAATTCAGCTAAAAACACGTCGGACATAAGACTTAGTCTTGTGTTTTGCTCAAAAGGTCAAAATCGATTCAATTTGAAAAAAATGTATGATTTCCGAAATTGACATGATTGACTGTCCCTTGGGTCAATCTACATTGACTTCCCCCTGATCAAACTTGTGACTTCACAAGCCTTTGATTCACTATAAAGGTGCATCTGCTCAAGATAAGTCCTAGGTCCGCTACTGATTGTTAGGGATAACATGTATCACATGGTATAACTAGCATGAACCAAGTTATGATTTGTTTCTCTTGGATGACAAAAGTGATATTCCTGACCCCCCCCCCCCCCTTCCGCTTGAATGGTGTTGAGGAAGTACATACATTCTCAGATTATCAATAATGATACTGATATCTGTTTTCTCAGTGTATTCTAAAATGGAGAAACTAAAAATCGGACATAACGATGATCACATCTCCATGTTTTATGGAGAAACTAAAAATTGCTTATTACCGATATCTAAGTAGAAGCTGCATTATAAAATCAATCATAGTCAGGTGAATAAAGAAAGCAGTTTTAGATTTTTTTTTTTTTTTTTTGGAGAGAAGATGGCCTGAGATGATGACGTCGGTGGTGATCGAAGATAGATCGGTTATTCTCAGTGGTGGCCAGAAGAAGATGACACATTTGAAGTGGGGGAGGCGATGAAGATGGTTGGGAGATGGGCGGGACGGTTTTTACAATTTACTTGTTTTAGTTATTGTTTATGTGGCTTTTTTAAATCTACCTAATATGTTTTTAATTAATAGATTTCCCATCACATTAGGGAAACCAAGTTACCAACTAATCCGGTTATCAAACCCTTAAATAAATGAAAAGTTTACCTGAAACCATAAAATGATAATTTTGAAAGTTGGTTCCTCAAAATAAAAATCAGACAAAAGTTCATTTCAATTTGATGCAGTTTTCTCTTAATTTAATTGTTAATATAATTTACTTACCTCAGTGTAATTTATTTTTAATTGTTTTATCATATTCAAATGTTTATCTTGATTCATAATTGTTATATCAAATGTTTATCTTGATCATGAGTTCCTATTCATTATTTTTAACTAGAAAGGTATTCGCGCATTGCAGTGAAATACATCTTGATTTAAATATTTCATTTTATTTTTTTATCCTAGTCGATTATAAATATGGTCTTATGTGATTTTGAAAATGCGACAATGTTTTTATTTTTGAATAAAATATAAATTTGAAGATATCATAAAAATTTGACAAAAATATATCGATATTAGTATCAAATTAAATATTTAAAATTTCTCATTTTTTATGTAAATTTTTAATTCAATTTTTTTATTATAATTTATTTTAGATTCAATAACGAAGTAATTTATATTTGGTTTAATAATATCTCTTTTCTAAAGATAATAATTAATTATTTTGTTAGAATTTGATAATTATCCTAATTATATTTTAGATTTTTTATATTTTAAAATGAGATGTTTATCCTCTATTTGATTATGTTTATTCGCAGTTAGTTACATGAATTCAAGCATAGAGCTTTAATAAGTTGTATTTGCGCACGATTACTTGTAATCTTAAATTTTAAGTAACATGCATTAATAAATAGTACTTCGTGTATAAAAAATAATTTTTAAATTTTTTTGTGAAATGCTTTATAATATAGTATAGATTTTATAATAATTTTTTCGAAGTTACACTTGTAACCCCATATTTTTGGTCTCTTACCAAAAAGCCCCCAAATTCCCTATAGGGTAATTCTTTTTTTGAATTTGATCTCATGTCAAAATCCACCAAATAAATAAATGTGTATCAGATGTAGATACTACCTTCGTCGAAAAGGTACAAGAAAATACCTAAAAACCATTAACTCCCTATTGACCCAAAAAAACCAATCGTCTGAAAATGTACAAGCAAACACCTTGAAGTTTTTGAGACGACACACTGGTCCCAACCTTCAAAGGGAGTACCTTCTGTTAGAAACACCCAAATAACTAGAGGAGGCCCTGAAAGGAGGAACCATGAACACGTACTTTCAAACTAATTGTACAGTGAAATGAAACCTACTTACTCAATTACAATATTGTAAATGATTATAACAAAGAAATGTTGTTTCTCAAAACGCATATCAATCTCGGTGGCAATAACTCACAGAAGATGTCGTGATTTATATCTTTCATATATCAACATAATACTAATGAACCAATATAATTTTGAATATAACCTCGAGACAAACTCATCAACCTACTGCAAGTGGCTGAGAGACGCAACAAAGTTCTTTCGAGTAACAATGCTAGACATGTTGGGACAAAGAAAATTTACCAGGTCAATACTGCAAAAGTTAGAGGTGGAAATAACTCCAAGGACGATGAGTTAAATACTTCACGCACTTGACATCCATGCAATATGTAGACGAGACCATGGAAAGGGTCATGGTTATGACAATAGTCGGGAATTTTTTCAATCCTTGGAGCAGAGTTGTAACTACTGCTCGTAAGATAACGAACAATAAAACAAGAAATGTATTAATAATCGCTCCTATAAAAAGGAAACAAGTTTAAAATGAATCGTCATATTTAAAATTGATGGAATGTTTGTTTAGTTGAAATTAAAAATTTTAAGTATTAAATTAATTTCATATATAATTCGAATATATAATTGTTATGTATGTAAAGAAACACATAAGAAAACAAATACAAAACTCACAATATTCTTCGTTCTGTGTAGGAATGTATCGAATAGAACTTGAGTTTTGTTAGGACCTCTCAAACAAGCATAAGATATAAACTATGATTCATTAAATTAACCATCTTTAAATCCTTTAACTAAATATTAAGACGATGGACTGTCACTTTTTGTACAGGATTAACAATCATTAAATTAATCAAACATTGTTAAAATATTCGTTCCAAATGAAAATCATATTATGAGAATGAAAATGGGTATACGTACATAACTACATATGCCTATAATGAATATGAAAGAAAACATATATTAGAGAAGCTAATATGTCAAACTAGTGGATTATCTGAGTCATTGAATCATATAATTTTTTTTAAGACAATCACACATATATGTTTCAGCATGACCACACAAGACTCTATGGTCATGATATAGATACATCATCTTTTGAGTGTGAGGCAAAATGAAACAATTATCCTAATTGCAAATGTTGACTTTTGCAGCACAAGAAACACCACCACCATAATAGTATATGCTTTATTGAACACCTAGAACTTTTACAAACACTACTCCTAGCCAATATACGAATGAGACCAGGGGGGGACGCACTACAAGGCCGTTGGGGTCCTGGGCCCCCAACAAAAATTAAATAGGATAGCCCAATTTTTTTTTACTTGTATTTTGAGATTAGGTGTAATTGGGCCCCCAACAACATGAGGTAAGAGGCCCCTCTTCAGTGCAGGAAGCCAGGAAACGAGAGTGAACTGTCTGTGAAGACATACCGCATACACGCTAACACTTACACGAGTGACGAGCCTGCTGCCGCCTGCGAGGCTGCGAGGCTGCGAGTACCTACCTCCATGCGACCCAAACAGATGGAACAGATCCCCTCCGTTTCCACCACCGCCGTCGCCAAAAAACGCTGCGCAAGCACCGACGCACTGCAACTAACAAACGCAAGCATCGGAAGCCGACTGCCGTGGGCGACTGTGCTGCCGATTGTGCTGTGCCGTGTGCGACTTCCTTCTTGGTCTTGGCCTCTTCTCTTGGGTAAAGACTAAAGATTCTAATTTCCAACTTCAATGTGTAGTATTTTAGGTTAATTTTGTGGTAATTGATAATTGGTAAATGCTTTACAGCTTTAAGTTAGGTATTTTAGGTTAATTTTGTTGGTTAATTTTGTGGTAATTGGTAAATGTTTTAGGTTAATTTAATAATTTTGTTGTTGGTTAATTTTGTGGTAATTGATAAATGCTTTAGGTTAGGTATTTTAGGTTAATTTTGTAGGCAATTAGGCAAATCAAATGGAAATGTCAAATTTTAGGTTAATTTTGTAGGCAAATAAAAATGTTACTAAACCATTGATTTTTATCTTGTTATTGTTATTGCTAGAAAAAAATGGAAAGATTTTTTAAAAAGAAAACATTAACACCTGGACAGTGGACTGGAGTCACTGGATTGAAGCAAATAAACTCTTATAATTTGGGTAAAAATTCTAATTTCAAATTCCAGTCTTTAATTTTGATTACTTCTTTGATTTTGTTGTTTGCTTATTGCCATTGATGATTTGATTTGAACGATCTTCCTTGGGATCCAGCCAATAGGAATTTTTTTTCGGAATATCATCCTAGCTTACTTCAACCGCATCAATTATCTTTGTTCGGTTAACCGAACATTTTAAGCTGAAAATGAAAACCCGAAACCTTTTTTGGTTCAGACGAATTGTTTGGTTTCGAAATTTTTTCGACCCTCTTAAGTGTGCCCCCAACCATAATAATTTCTAGATCCGCCACTGAATGAGACCATCCTAAAGCTAATGATATAATACAAAAGTATTACATTCTTACATTGAATACAAGATGATATTAATTTTAAAAAGTTATTTATTTAAATAATCTGTATACGGTTAAATTGTCATCCAAAATATTAATTTATAACATTTATGAACTTCTTAAAACTTTGATAACACTGACAACTTCAATCAATCTTATATGAAATTCATCTATGATATAAGATTATATATATTTTTTTTATTTCAGTCAGCAACTAAGGCTAGCAATTAACCGGTTGCTATAATCAAACCAAAACATATTCTATGTTCCATCTCGTCCTCGTCAAGTATGGGGCCGTCTACCAAAGTCTTACTTGGGTAAACGCTTACTAAGTCACAGTATCTTAACGGACGAATATAATAATGATCAAGAATCTTATCCGGTAAGAGCAAGGTAAGGACCAAGAGTCTTACCCGGTAAGTGAGGACGACGACTCTTACCACAGTAAGCGCTTACCTGATAAATTGTTGCATACGATGTTATTTTGGTGAACTAAAATCTTACCCAGTAAATAAATGATAGTATTAAATTTTATCATTACACAGTTATCGAATAAGTATTTGGTAAACAACCCATAAGTTACAAGTCTGAATTGTTAATTCACATATTTTAGAAAAATGTTTTTATCCGAACAGATGTCTGTATCGAGAAAATAAAAATAAAAATGCGGTTGGTTTTCGTATTTACCAAACAGCCCCTCCTTAAGTATTGGGGAAACTAGAAAGAAACTGGCCCTAGAAGCTTCTGAGGGTTACCGACGTCGAAACATTTTGATTTCAGCCCCTGCAATTAGGGTTTCTTTAGGGTTTACAGAAATCCCCTTTTTGCTCACAACAATACTTCGAAATTCATTTTAGTTTCCACAAATTTACAGACCACAAATGGTTTGTTCTAACGGCATTAAACTCATCTCATGGCTTGCTCGCCGCTCCCTCTCTCACGACCCCGTATGCATTCTGTTTCTTTATCATCGGATTATGCAGGGCTATTTGCGTGGGCGAATTTCATTTGTTAATTATGTGTATTCGTGTGTGTTTTCTAGTATATTTCTCTGATCATGTGTGTTTTCTAGTATATTTCTCTGATCATGTGTGTTATGTGATCGTTACGCAGTCGCTGGTTAGAGGAGGTTATAGGAAGTTTGGCTCATCAATTCACAGTCATTACAAGATACCTAACTGTCAGAATCACAGAAATGGTAAATCACATGGGGAAGGAAATTAGATTTGTGTTTAGCCAATTTGAGTTTTTGGGAGCTTGTGTGTTGTCTGTATATCTGACAGAGGCTGGTTATTTTCTTGCAGTAGTCAATCCGAGCTCCTGGTCACACCTTGGAACAAGTAGTGCATATAATGGCAAACCTAGATCGATTCATGGCACTTGTACGTCGCAATTCTTCTGCCTTTTTATTTGTATTTGAGTTAGAACCTATTTCTTTTAACCAACTCAGGTGTTTAATATATTTTCAAAACAAATCATTCTTATTTGACAACAAAAGCAATAGATAAAATGCTGACCTTTCTTTTATTTTTTTGTCAAATTCTGGATATGTATCAAAATTTTAACTCCTTTTTGTTGGTAATGATGACGAGAGAGGCCAGTCATTGTAGATTTTGTGGTATGGCTCGAGAAGGAATTGTGACAAGGTTTACTTAGGATATGCTAGATGCGACTGTACCACCACTACTAAGAAGGGTGATAAGATACATGTAGGTTTAATGGTCTAACATACTTCATGTGGAGGCGACTTGAGAGGACTAGGGTGACTTGCATCAAGGTTCCGTGACTTACAAGGGGAAGGAATTTAATGGTCACGAGCAGGGCATAATTGTAATTCAAAGTTGTGTGTGAGAATAAGGGAAGTCGGTTTGGGTTTTCCTAAAAAGCTGTTGTAATTTGTTTTTTCTGCATGAAACCTAAATGCTTCTTGAGCATGGATACATGGAAGAATAGATGCAGTTTAAACTTGTACTCACCAAATTTACACTTAAAACCAGGATGTTGGCTGATGGCTCCACTTGTCACGTTAAAATTGTGTTCATTAATACAATTATATTCACTGGGTGTTGTTGTACCTTCTAACTCTCAACCTTCTAGCAGCTTGACTGCCTGAGTGTAGAAACATTGTCACTTAGAAGTTTAACTCTTTTATGGCTTTCTTTTGTATTTTCTTATCTCTAGTAAACTGAATGGTGTTGTTGGTGGTATGACCATACAAAACAAGTAATGTAATTAGTAGCTCAATTGTATTCTATGTAGTTCCTTTCTGCTTAGAAGTCAATCCTTCCTTTTCATTTGGAACCATCATATTGGATAATGCTCATTACACGAGAGAACATGTTTTTTTCGTTATTTATTCATCCGATTGATCTCTAGTCAGATACCTGATGGGAACTTGTTTGACATTATTCTAACTTTTTTTGATAGGCTGAACTGACACCCACTAGATGGATATGATCTCATGATTGAATGTCCTTTCCTTCTTTTCTGGTCTACTGGATCATTCTCTTGTTGATGACCCATAATCAAGCCTATGCCTTTTCTTATTGGTCTGCTTAGACTTTAATGCTGTGACCCCCCATCTAATCTCCTCCCTCATCTCTTTTATGGAAACTGTCAAATAAAGGTGTCTCTTTGAGTGAGGAATTCCTCATTTTTGCCACTCTCTCACTTCCTTCAATTGTGTCCTATGATTATCCATGTAGACAACTGGTGTAACCACTTCAAATCACCAATGGGTTTACTCGAAAAAGAATCCTAGAGTTAGATGAGTCAGATCTCACATGCCGTCCACAAAACTAGCAACAGGTTTTCTTCCCCCATGGTGGCTAGATACAACACTACTTGTTTGCTAACATCATAGTGTGAGGAAAGCATCTGGCATCTTTTTTATCCACGACTTGGCATTTCTTCACTTCCTGGAAATCAATTTAATGGACTTGAAAGTTTTCTGAGGTTTGAAGACTAATCTCTATTACCAGGGGTAGCTGGTGGTTTTCTCAAAGCCCCTCCTAACAACGAGCCTCTTATTGATTGTTTTTTTCTGGTTACGTGAGTTGTGACTTTTAAAAACACTTTGGCTTCCTTCAGTATTTGGCCAACTTTATTATCAAACGCTTGTTGCAAAGAAGTTTTCAATGTATGGATTTCCGCATCTGGTTCTTCCCGGGGAGGAGGGAGGTGATTGGACGGGAACATGTGAGAGGAAGGAAGAGAGAGAGTCAAAAAGGTTAGAAATCTGGGAAGTTGTATACTGATGCCGAACAGGAAAAGTCAAAACAACTTTCCTCTTTTCTCTGACCATAGTAACCACCTTTTTAACAACTCTGGACTAACTATACAGGATGTAGTAATACCTTTTCAACAATGCACTATTAAAATTCACTCCTTGGTCATTCAATATTCCATTTTCTATGAGTTGAATTTCAGTCACTAAATGATAAGAATAAGGTTTTTTTTTTTTTGGGGGGGGGGGGTTCTGGTTTAACAGTTCTTTTAGTATTGATAGCTTTCTGTGGGATATTGGAAAATTTCCGGCTTGCTTGATCTTTGACCTATTGTTCACCAGCATTCATGGCATCAAAAGATTATTACGATACGCTTGGAGTCAGTAAGAATGCAACTGGATCTGAAATCAAGAAAGCCTATTATGGGGTTTGTATCTTTTCATGACTTCTCTTTTTTCTTCTTCTGCAAATCTTTTGCGTGAGTGGATTATTTTCATTCATTATCCTCGTGAGTTTGTGTTGTTTGGTTTGCTGTGCTGTGTTTCTATTAACTAATTATCCTATGCTATTTGGAATTTGTAGCTAGCCAAGAAGTGGCATCCAGATGCAAATAAAGATGACCCAGAAGCGGAAACAAGATTTCAGGAAATTTCAAAGGCATATGAGGTACTAAGGTGTTGTTTATCATTTTTATCTCTTTCTAGTTTCTTTTTGTAGTTGAACTGCTTTACCATTTCAAAATGCCTCTCTCTCGTGTTCCATTTAAAGGTGGCAACCTTTTTGTCATTTAAACATGTGAGAAATATGTCGTATCATATTAAGAATTTTATCCTTGCTTCTTTCATGATAATGGTAACAACAAAAGTGTATACCTCACCTTTGAAGCCTACGAGCTGTATGAGAATACTAAATGAACAAAGCTCATAAATAGCTATACTTGTATTGCTGCAGGTTCTGAAAGATGAGGAGAAACGAGCACAGTATGACCAGGTTAAAATACTAGCTTTGTCTTCTATGTTACCTGCCAGTGTTACTTTTAAAAGAGTATCTATTGTCTTATGGTATACTATGTTTCATGCTTTATATTAATATGCCTAGTTACTCAGATTTGTGTATATGTAATGTAATGCTCATATGTATGACATGTGCACAAACTTACAAATAGACATGCAGATATAACTGAAATGCTCCTTGAATACATATACATCAATTTGTAGCACCTTATTTGTCCTTGGTTTGCATATGGTGGTACTCTAACGTTTTTACTTTATTGCTGCTTTGATTTCATGGACCTAATGTTTTATATAATCTTGCTATATCAGGTTAATATCGCTTTTGTACTGTTTAAATCTAGGTGAAGGGTTAAATAATCATTCGTTTCGGTTGCATGGGTTGCATGGAGAACCACTCGGCTAGTAGTTCTATCCCTATGCCAATTTACTTACCCTGGGATGCCAAATTAATTTGATTTTGGGTGTTGGTTGTTAGTTTGTCATGCATCAATCATAACATAGTTCTCGAGCTAGTTTACATTATATGATGGGTCTGGGTTTTGAATAAAAACTTCACTTGTAAATGTGGACGTTCCTACCAAGAAGCACTTATTATATTAGACTCATGCCTTATCGAGCATGTTATCTCATTTTTAAATTAGTTTATTCTACAGCAGCAAATGCTAGTTTCAATAAAATTTGAGGTTATATTTTCGCTATAAAACCAAATTAAAACGTACTGGTATATCTCGCCCGAAATGGGTCTGGGAGGGTGAGATGCACAATGATCTTTCTTCTGCCCAAGGGGTAAAGAGGCCGTTTCTGTGAAGAACTGACTCCGACTTGTGACATGAGTTTTGGAACGTCATGAGTTAAAACATAAAATTGGTCAATAAAATTTTATCGACTATATTGTTGGTAAAGTTATAGTGTCAATTATGGGCTTCTGGGGGGAAGCTATTTATTTTAGCTGATTGCCTGGCTCTTAACGCTGTCTTCTATTTTTTTTAGAAGTGTCTGAATATTTTTAATCTCTATTGCAAGTTAAAATGGCTACATGATCGAGCAAACAAGTTTAATTGTACTGACCTAACAAAATTCTCATATGGGATTTGATCTTTGTAATGGGTTACTGGTTGTTTTTAGATGAAAAGAATAAAGATTGTCGATTTGTAGGCTATCAATCTTGTAGTCTTGGTAAAATATAGTTGGTTAGAAAGGTATGGAAGCACATATTTTAATTTTTTATGTCCCAAATCCAATCGTACTTCTAATCTGCTGCAGTTGATCATAGGATCAAAAAATTCACCAGGTCCTCACTTCCCATTTTATTGGAAGATAAGAGTATTCAACTATTTTTATCAACATGTTAAGTTTGTTTGCCCAATCATAAAGTTTGTTCCTGCTCAATCACAGCTTTCATCAAGTGTTAGGTAGTAGGTTTTGCCGAGGGATGACGGTAGTGTGTTGATTTATCTGGAACCACGTGGTTGTGGAGGTTGGCCATGATGGATAATGGTACTCGATGCTGGTGGTGATTTTATTGAACAATGTGAATGTGGAGATCTAGTTGGGAGACGATATTAAGGAATTAAATTAATCGATTTGGATTGTTGCCATGTGGTTCACATGGTAATTTTATTTTCTGAAAATGGAAATAATGGTAATGGAGGCAAGTGTTGAAAAGGATTATGTTTGGTTGAAGAACTTGAAGTTGGTAGTTGGTGATAATGGGTGAAAGCATGTTGATAATGAGCATAATCAACCATTGTAGTCATGCTGGTAAAGGCTACCCAACAAGCTGCTTGACAGTTTAGCATCTACATATTGCAAATCTCACTTGTGCATATATTCCCTTTAATAGTAGTGCTTGTGTGGCCATGGACCTGTATAATTAATAGTTCTGTTAGTGGTTCCATATGCATTGCTTGGCATCCACCTTTTGTACTTTGGATTATGTTGACGTGATATACAAGTATTTTGAATGCTCTGGAATGTGTTTGTAAAGTTGTATTTATGAGCTTTTTGCTGCATTGATTTTGTTGGTTCTGAAGAAATGTGGTGTTAGTTGAAGATTATTGATATTCTGCTTTTCTTTGTTATTGCTATAAACTAGCTATTATGTTGTCATACTGATAAACCTCCTTTTGAGGTTTACTTATAGACGAAGAAATTAGTTTTGAGTGGGTTTAATTGCTGTTTCCTGTTACGAATAAGAGAGGGGCAGTTTGGTAATTGTGTCTAGCTTAAATAGTGAGCTGTTGGTAGTAGTTGGGTATTCAGTTTTCACTTTCTGTTGAATATTGTTGAAGCGTAAGCTTTGGGAGAGAATCCCAGACCTCTCGAAAGTCTGGGAGTTGTATCAATTGTGAATTGCAATAGATTGGCCGACAATTTCATTCCTATATGTTCCAATTATCGACCTAGCTATCGTGATTCTGTCCCTGTGTATTCTACGTCCAAAATTCTGGTTCAAGGTACGCTTTTAGCTATCGTAATTCTGTTCTGGGAGTTTTACGTCACTGTTTCTGGTTAGAGATCGACTTTATGTTCACGAATCAAGCTAGGGTATATCACATACATATTGACTCTATATGCTTGTACATAGTTCAGTTGATTATCAATTCCTTATTTCAAGTTTTCTCATGGGATCTGTGGCTGTATAGCTTGGCCATGAAACTTTTGAAGCAAGTGCTAATGGTGGAGCTGGTCCAGATGCTGGTCATTGGCGCAATCCATTTCAGGACCTTGGCGATGTAAGTTGTAGATTCTTTTAGTGAATGAGCTAATCATTGCCTATTAGTTATGTTCTGTGTATCTGATAGAAATTCAAGTTTGCTGTGGTTATAGTGATTTAAGTTGTGTATGAGAAGTTATAACTAGTTAACTATTTCATGATATTTTGGAAGCGATATTGCGCTTTTTTGGCTGATGTTCCAAGTATGTGGGCGTATCTTTTTTCTCTTTCATTCATTTTGGTTGGGTGTCCTCGATATATTTTTATTGCTTCCTATTGTAGTATCTAGTATGCTGACTAAATGAAAAGAATTTTAATGAGGTGGTCCTATCTGTTAAGCCATTTCATGTAAGAAGAACCCAATACTTGTATCTAGTTCCTTCAGAAGCTTCTCTTCTCCAGTGTTATTCAATGTGTTAGGCGCAAAATCCCCCCTTGGATGTAGGTGGGGCATGTGTGCCTTATTGAAGTGTGGTGCATGAATAAAAAAACAATATACACAAACATAGAACATAGATGTGCACACACACACATACCTATATGTGTGTACACATACATACATCTGTTTACATACACATGAACATATTTAGGGTGCATGTGGGTGTATTATATATACGTATGCATATAAGTACATCTCCAATAATAAGATTGAAAATATATCACTAGCCATATCTACAAAATTAAAAAAATCTCTAAACAGAACAAATATTCCACTCATCTACTATCATTGATATATGCAACATAGAACATATACTATCGGTTTGTTAAACCAGAAAATTCAACCAGCTTTAAGCAGAAAATACCAGAACTGTACAACAAAAAATGCTAGTATACGATAAGTCAATATTCTTATGCATTCTTAAGGTTGTTGTACCTCATGTAATAAAGCTGTTGCCTTGTGTTCTAAGCACAAGTCTTTCACCTATTCTAATATGCCGTTTCTCACATTGCTCTGGGTCTTGGTGCTCACCTAGGTGCACCTTTCAAACACTGCTCTACTCATTGTTTCTTTGCACTTTTAGGTATAATAATCTTGCTTTTTGTCAAACATGTATACTGTCTTTTCTTGCTTGCACGTGGAAGACAAAATTTTCTCTATTTTCTTGCATAGTACATCTCTTAATCGATTAGCATGTTCTTGCAGAATTTAGTTATGACATATGACATGTTTTTTAGTATTAAAACATTAAATGTATGTTCTCATTTTATCTGCCTTTTGGCTTTGTGATGTTACCTTCTCATTATTGGCTACACCAAGGCATGCTCTATTTTATTTATGATTTCGTACCCTCTGCAGGCACTGCTCTGCAGCAGCCTGATCCTCTTTAACCCTGAAATTCATTTGTATGATACTTGCTAGTAAATGTGATGGAAGCATTAACAAAGTTGTAGGTTACTTTCTGATGTTTAACTGTATATAGTATAGAATTGCTTTTAGTTTTTCTCTTAGGTGCAAATGTGGTTGTCCTTTTAAAAATGTAGAGTTCATTTATATCCCATTTTGATAAACAGGTGAAGCAATCATTTTTCAAGCCATGTACATGCTAATTTGAACTTAATGTTGGTGGCTTTGTTTTTGAGTTCCATTCAAAATTATATTAAGCTATATTCTTATTCTTGGATTATAACCCTTGTATTTTTGTTTATCAGATATTTGGTTTTGGCCCTTTTGGTCGGAACTTCACTGGCAAGGATGTTAAGGTCTTGACTGTTCATTCTTTTGGTGTTTCTTATGCAATTGATTTATCTGTGATGTCTTAAAAAATTTCATCTTGCACAGGTATCCCTTGAACTTTCTTTTATGGAAGCTGTCCAAGGATGTACCAAAAATGTAGTCTTCCAGACCGAGTTGCCTTGCGAAGCTTGTGGTACAAAACACACTTTTAGCTAACTGATATTGCCTCTGTCTCTGCTATGTGCTATATTAGTTTGTTGAGCTTGTTACTTTTGTGTCAATCTTGTAAGGGGAATATTTTCTGAACCATGTGCTTGTTTGTTTCAATTGCTAGGTGGAAGTGGCGTTCCTCCTGGAACAAAGCCTGAAACCTGTAGGCGTTGTAAAGGAGCAGGCATGGTTGGTATCATGCTTTTTCATTTGTAAGTTCTCTAATGTTAATAAGTATCCAGGCTAACATGTGGTTATGGATCATCTACAGACAATCAGTCAAACTGGTCCATTTAGAATCCAGGTCACTTGCACACAATGTGGTGGAAGTGGTAAATATGTCAAGGTATGCCTTGAATCTTTCTTCTAGAAATAATACTATCTGATTTTTTAATACATTATAGTTGATCTAGTTCATCAACCAACCATATGATCTGGAATAGGTAGTGATTACAGCTTGTAGAGATGATGTATATTATATTGGCAGTAAGGTGCTTAATGACCAAAAGAGCTGTGTCTGGAGAAAACACCGAAAATACTTTTGTTTGGGGATGATGAAACTAATACCGTTGAGAATTAAGTGTGTCATGTGGTTGGTTATACGTTTCAGTATTGGCTTTTGGAAAATGCGTTGGATGTAAAAAGCCGAATCAAGCATTTCCTGCAAACCTCGTCATGCTTTTCCATGTGGTTTAACTGCTTGAGTGTTTTTGGAGCAATGTGAAATGCTACTTGCTGTGTATTTCATAATGTTTAAGTTCTTGGAAACATTTGTTGGTAATGCTTAAATAGTGGCTACGTAGACATTGCCAAATAAGAGGAATCTTGAAGTCTCAACTGTTGTTTTGTTTTCTTATTCTTAGTTCTTATTCTTAGTTCTCTTATTTCTTTTCCCCTTAGGTGTTGATATGCTTTTCCATCCTCAAATATGAGGCTACAAAAATAAGCTGTTCCTTTTTTTCTTTCTGTATTTAGTGGAGTGCTCAATGATTTAGAGAGTGGTGGGCCATGGGTAGTAGGACATAGAAGTTGTGTAGAACATCAGTTTTGAAGTGTCTATGGCTATCAGAAAAAGGCGAACTTTGAGCAAGTGAGCTTAACTTGTGGTTCTTTTAAAATTTTGTTGTGTTGCTATATCAATGTTAACAAAATCATCTCAGTTTGGAAGTTACAATTTCGTTTTTATTAGCATAAGGTCTCAATTAGGTAATTGCTGATATGAAACTTCTTTTGCTTGGTAGAAGTTCTACATCATACTATCTTGTCTCTGCACATCATATGGTTATGTACATGAACAGTGTACTTATCTGCACTCTGCTATATGCATTTGGGGTTTGTTATCTGTTCAGTTTTTGCACATCTGACCTGAAATCCTTTTCTTAGTTACCTGAAATCTGAAAGGTAATCTCCAAGCACCTGAAACATGTTACATTACATGCAGCAATCCATTTACTTAGATTTCTGCTTTTTTTTCCTGCTGTAATTGTTGAATGCTGTCGGTGTACATAATTTCTGAAATAGTTGAACTTATGACTTACAAGGCTGGTTGGCTTACAGAGCTTATGCAAGTCATGCAATGGCCAGAGGGTGGTGAGAGGACCAAAGTCCGTGAAATTAAACATAATGCCAGGTATTTTGTGGTTTCAATTGTTTTTGTCATTGTTTTTGTATATTGTGGGCAGTCTGTGAATTCCAACTGGAGTAGTAGATGTGTTGTGTTGAGGTAAACTTCTATTGCTCAAAGCTAATGCTTGTTGGTTGGGTTTGAGTGCAATTGGGATGCAGAACCCACATGGGTTTGAAAATTCTGCACAGGGTGGCATTGACGTTGCAGCATATTCATTGGGCAACAGTTTGGCAGGCCAGGACATGTGGGATATGGCAAGTTGCATATATTTTGGCAAAAAAAATTAGGAGAGAGGGAAGGGAGCAAGAGGAGTGAGAAAGGCTTTGATTTGATGGAGAGAGGCCAATAATTAGATGATAGAGATGCTAATGTGGCTGATGCTAGCAAATACATCTTTATGTTGCATGTGGTTGGTCATATTGGAGATATGATGGAATGAAGGTGTTACAGGTGCATGGGGAAAAACTTGTTTGACTACTATTTGATTATGGAGTGAACCATGTCTGTCCAACTCCTTCAAGTAGGATGGTTTTTATTCAACGGAGACATGTCTCGTAAAATTTCATCAAGGAATAGAATGAACCTCATTTCTCTCTGATCTTGAATAACAACTCCATCTTTTCATTCTACATTCTTTTGCCAGTCCTTGAAAAATCGAATGTCGTTTTCTAGCTTGGTATTCTTTAATTTTGCAAGATAACTTAAAGCGAGGCAATCTTCTTGTCATCAACCAAGTCCCATTTGGGCTTGTCATTATTTCTACAAAACTTGTTTGGGATAGAAGCTCCCATCAGTAGAGGGATAAATATGTCCTATAGTGCCAGATATGACAGTTACCCAAAAGAGGAAGTATTTGTCCAGTGGCGCAACTACCTCGAAGTTTACAACTCTTTATTTCAAAATCTCTCTAGGATAACTTCTAATTTTTTGAGGAAATGCTTGGTCCATGATATCAACTTGATAGCTTAAATCTTTTCAGATTTCTTGTCTTCTTAAAGCAGTTACAATATTTCTATTGAAGGGGGCATGATTTGTTTGGGTTTGTGAGTGAAGATGACAGTTATTAGGGGAAAATGAGGGTGTGAGAAGAGAATTGGACTATATATTGGTGAATGTGGAATTGGATGAATAATCGGGGTTACAATAATTTTCTCTTTTTTTTATAGATCTATTTCATTCAGTTCCTACATGATAGAAAGTAAATGCGACACTTGCAAGGAATTTGGACTCTTAAATTTCATTACTTTATTCAATTACTCCGATTTCATTTTGTTCATGCACACAAGAAAGGACAGGCAGCTTATATTTTAAATAAAAATTCTCGAGTACAAACATGTTGTTTGGGTTATGGAATGACAATTAAATTACTTATAACAGGTTCTTGTTTTGAAGAATAACAAGTTAGATGCGAACTTTCTAATTTTTATGGTGACATTTAACATCTAAATGTGCTTTCCTTTTTTTATTTATTTGAAGGACCATTTTTCTTTTTATTTTTTTTGTCTTATAATCAATATTATGTTCGTAAAAACATTTAATTTATATAAGCAATTGTTATCTACAAAGTTAAAATCTGCATTGGATTTTGAGAGTTCCCAAGCCCTGTTAACTGCATCACTGTGCCTACATGTTTTCTATTTAAAGCATATGCCAAGTTATTTTTTATATCATAACAAATATGGCTTGAATGTGCTTTTTAACTCACAGAGACTTCTTTTTCATGTGGATGCCTTAATAAGGTTAATTTTAGGCTTGGGAAATCTGTGGGTGGAATATACTTGTTAACTCGTGTTGAGATGTTCCACTCCAACAATGTTTTAGTCTTTCAACTTCTATGTTCAAGTATGTAAATGAACTTGGATTTTAATTTACAATTATCAGGTTATCAGCTATTGGTTTGGTTTTATGATGGAGGGCAGGTTGTGTCATAATCCTTCATTTATGGGGAAACTTGTCTGTTTTATATCATATTTTAGGAGATTTAGGTTAGGAGATGGAGTTTTCTATCATATTTTTAGTATTATAATTTTTGTATGTTGTTCTTATTTTAAGGCCAAATCTGTAGCCATATAGGGAATCCTGTAGTAAAAACTAAGGGGGCTGTTTGGTTCAAGCTGGGGAATGAAAGTGAAATGACTGGGAATGAATTTTCATTCTCCCCAGTTTGACCAGGAATGAAGATTTGGCTTTCTGGGGAATGAACCCATTATATTATATAAAACCAAACAATTTCCTTTACTTTCATTCCCATTGATGACTGCTTAATACCTCTAACCAAACACCCCTAAATCACTTATATCTATCTCTGAACACCATTAGTGCATTATTGCTTATTTGAGCTTTTGGTAGCTAGAGCATTTAACCAGTTCTTAGCATGTGCTTTGAACAGTCCTTTTAGCTGCCTGACTCCATTTTATGCAAGGTGGGTGGACATGAGACAGTAGTGCTCGAGTCTGTGCCCTAGTCATTCTTTTTTGAGCTTAGGGTAGTGTAAGATTTTAATCTCAGAGAATTTGTTGGTATAGATGTGCTTATGGAGATCTTGTAGATATATGGAAGTGGTAGCAGTAACTGGTTATATTTTTTTCACCTCAATAATGATACACAGTATGATGTTTCTTGACTCATTCATGGTTTGGAATGTGCAGGAGTGGATACAAATGAAGAACTAAGGATGTCCAGAAGTGGTGGAGCAGATCCAGACGGCAACCAGCCTGGTGATCTTTATGTTGTCATCAAGGTAAGAGGAACTTGCATGGCTATTGGTTTAAGGATCCATTGCTTACATATATTTATGTATGTATCATATGCGTATATATGTATGTATAAGTATATATAAGAACAACAATAGGGCCAAATCACGTGCAAAATCACATTGATTTTACACTAACAATGCAAGGGTGTGCGGACTACGTGGTCCGTGATCTCAGGTTGTGACCAAAGTTGAGTAAATCACATGTGATTTTACACGTGATTTTAATGTAAAATTACATGTGATTCGACCGTTTTCTTATTCTCTTATTTGGTTACTCTTTCTCGTATACCTGACACTCTCTGTATATATATATATATGTATATGTATATTCAGATGTGTATACATGTATATAAAGAAACATATATATGTAGAATGTGTAACATGCCTATGTATATGTACATATGTATGTTTGCATATCCGTAATATGTGTATGCTAATGTATAATGCCTCAAATTTGAAATCATCTATTTTAAGGGTTGCTGAATACCATGACAACTTTATAGGTGCGAGAAGATCCTATTTTTCGACGAGAAGGACCAAACATTCATGTTGATGCTGTCCTGAATATCACTCAGGTAATAATGTTCTTAGTAGAAAAAGTCATCTCAAGTGCATTAAACTTTGAATCGGACAGGAAATCTAGCTGTTGTCTTCGATTCCATTGCTAACTTTATTTTGGCTGCTACCAAAACATTAGACAGAAGCAACCTTCCTGACCATTTTTCTACTGGAACTTTTACTGTTATTTAAATGCCTTAGCATTGGGCTTTGAAACTAACATGTGGAGTTGTTAAATTTCAATTTAACAACTAGCAGACCATGAATATGTATACAAACAGGGTTTCTCTGTTTCTAGGATTTGGTTAGTTTGATTTAGAAGTAGCAAAGGTTCTAGAATCCAAGAAAAATGAGTGATTTTATTTCCAATATGAGGAGATAAACATGAAGTCAGTTTCTATTTACTCTGCATATAACTACTTAAATATTTTGATTGGAAAAATACCTAGACAGGACCAATGGACCAAATTTCTATATTATTGTCAAAATTGGGACCAAACTTAATAAGTTTGTCAAGGGACTAAATCTGCAGATTTGTACCTGGTCAAGGGACAATTTATTGAGTTTGTTCTGGTTTACATACATTTTTATAACGAAATTCGCAATCAGCATGTAGGTAAGTTTCTCATTGTGATTTGTGTTTTTTATGCTAATCTCTCCATCCAGATCATTTGAACTTCATTAAGGTATACAATGTTATAGGCATGGAAAAACTTCTGACAATCGTTTTTTTCTTCTGCCAGTATTTGATCTCTTGTATGTCATTTTATACTTTTAACGGATTCCAGTTCTTAATGTAAGATGGTACTTAATTACATGATGGTTTTTTATCCTCCTGCAGGCAATTTTGGGAGGGACTATTCAGGTCCCAACATTAACGGGGGATGTTGTTCTTAAGGTTCTCTTCACATTTACATTGTTATATGAGTGAAAAAGTTGTCATTAACGTTGTATTGTCGTACTCTATTAATACTTAAATTTATTTTCTCTCTATTTGCAGGTTCGTGCAGGAACCCAACCTGGTCAAAAAGTAGTTTTAAAGGGAAAAGGTGCGACATATATGCTGGGGTGACATAAGTTTTCTTTTTCTGTTAGTTTGTTATCTGTTATTTTCCTAGTAATGCAAATTCTAACTAGGAGCCTGCAACAAATCACTACAACTTGAATTTCTTGCTATATCTGTTATGTCTATGGAAATCCGTAAAAAATGAACCATGTTTTTGTAGTTAGTTGTTAATTATGGACTTGATTTTGAAATAAGCTGCCCATGGAAGTTGACTAGTTATTATTACGGGTTAGTAGTAAGATGTAGGTTTATTATTAAAGGCTGTCATGTTTGTTTAAATCTTTTCTATTGTTTTCTCTTGTCACATCTTTATGGTTTTTATTGGTGTTTCTCTTTCTATTGTTAGCTTAGAAAGAAAACTCTTTTTCTTTAGTTAGTACCGATCATGTATATACATAAAGTTCTATTAAGCTTGCACAACTAGGATCTAGCTGACAGCTGTTATCTTGTATGAGTATTAGAAAACATGGTACTCCAATATTGAGGAATATCTTTTTGTAGAGCATGTTAGCATGGCATTCTGGTGATCTAGGCCCAGTTGTTAGGCTATAATGATAATATTTTTATGTTAACCACACTTGTATATATGTGCTATATGTCTTTATATGGGTATTAGGTCTACACACCATTTTCCTTGTGGGCCTAAGTAACCATTTTCATTGTTCTCTGTCAGGAATTAAAACTAGAAGTTCTTACTCATACGGAGATCAGTATGTACACTTCAACGTCAGCATCCCGACGTATGTTTCCTTGCTCCCTTCCTCTGCTATTGATAGTCTTCCTGCTATGTTTGAATTGAGTTAGTTAAAATACAACACATTATTTGTGCCTCTTTATGGTGTGGCTTAAGCGTGTTTTCCTTGCATACCAGTTAGATGCTAAATATCACTAGAGAAGATATTTTTAGGACCATCATCAAGAAGGCACCCTGACCCTGACTTATTCTTTTGAGAAGCATGCTTGTACTAATTCACTTGAATATTTGTTAAAGTGAATTCCTGTATCGTGTTCTCATTTTCTCTGACCTTGTATTGAATCGGATCTTGGGCATCTTTTAACTTCTTGCAATTCCAAAATTCAAATCTGTGCTCGTAGTGATTTTTTTCAATAGCTTCTATCTTCATCTATTTAGTCTCACAAGATGCAAATTTAACTTCCTGTTTTGGAGTTCATGCATGCGTCTACCTCAATATTTGTTGGTGTATCCGTGTATGGAAATCCTTTTTTATGCCTACTATGTAGCAGACTCATCCAGCATCCTCTAAGTAATGAGTTAATGGTATGGATAATGACTCTGGTGTGTTGTTGATGATGTTCTTTTGTGGTGAAAAACATCAAATGTAACTAACTTTAGCAAATGATATGGTTAAACAAGTCTGGTCAACCTAATAATATAAACATCACCTTTTCTGGCCCATGTATAAGAAAACAAGTTATTGTGTGCGTGTATTAGTATTTCATGATAATAGTGCTGAAGGAGAATGACTCACTACAGGAGCAATTCAGTTAGGTTGTGTTTGGTATGTGGGACAAAACGGGCAAAGACAATACAAAAAGTTTGTTGTCCCACGTTTGGCATGACATCAGACATGGACAGGATAGGACCTGATGGCCTGGTGGGAACAAAAAAGCGGTTTTACTGTCCCAATAAATTGGTGGAACAGAAACCAGGGAGATGACACAAGATTGTTAAATCACTAAACTACCCATGTCAAATTAAAACACTAAAACCTTATAGAATTCTTTGAACCGCCTACCTCACTCTCACTTGTCCAGTTCTGTCGAAACCCAGCTGCTACCAAACACACCCTTATGGACGTGAAAGTAACAAGTTAAGAACCATAAAGGCTGCAGATCCACTTTGACTATGAAAGGAATAATAGTTTTTTGTCGGTATTAAATATGATTAGCAGAAGCAAAGAAAATTTGCACCTCCCTGTCTGATTTATTATGTGTTTAATAATTCAGGAACTTAACTGAAAGACAGCGTGAACTGATCGAGGAGTTCGCAAAAGAAGAGCAAGGTGAATACGAGAAAGGTGCAGCAGCTGGAGCATCTAATTAGTGATGCACACGTGAATTAGCAAAATCAGGTAGAACAAAAGGGAGATATCTTCAGTTATGTGCCTCTCGTCTTTAATAGATAGAAAGTCCCTTCCTGGAGCCTCCAAAGTTTTGATGGGAAAGTGTGTTATTTGAGCATATTTATCTTACCGACGTTTAAGGTATGTAATGCATGCCAAAAGGACATACATCATTTTATGGTCGAAACTCTACTCTGCCATCCTTTTGTTCTTAAACATTGTTGTATATATGATATATATATTCTTGCCGGTTATAAGCTAATAATCTTTTAGCATTTTCACGATGCAAAATGGTTCCAGAGTCCGAGTGAATTCAATGGTCTTTGTTTGCATTTCTATTCAACAAGTCCATCGATGCTGTTTCGAAAAAAGTTCATAACATACATGATTAAATTCAAGAACCTTTATCTTTACTGTAGAGTTTAATTGTGGAATTTTATAGTAAGATCTTCTGGTAAGGTCTACTTATACTTTACTATTTCCGACCCTACATTTGGGTGAGATACTGGGTTTGTTTGGTTTGGTATTTTATTAACACCTTTTTCAGTCCCTACATCTAAGTGGTGTGAGATATTGGGTTTGTTTGGCTTGGGTGTTTTAGTTGGACGGCAGGATATGCTGAATGGCCCGGTTAGGACTAGCCTGGCTAGGTCTGACCAAGTAGCGTTGAATCTCGATTCTTGAGCACCGAATGGGGCCAGTATCTGTATCTAGATCTAGTACGCTTGTACTATTCATCTGGGTACGTTTGATATGCAGATGGGATGGGACGGGACATAAAATGGCAGGACGGGAGAGAGTGAGGTAGGCAGATGAAAGAATTGTTTATCGTTTGGCAATTTAACACACTTGTTACGTCTTATTGATTATTGTTCCACTTATTTTGGTGCGTTAGAAAGACATTCATGGTCTTAATATCGCACTAAATGTGGGACATGTTTTTGTTCTGTTATGTACCATTTTGTCCCACAATCTGGTATAACTGAGATCGTGTTGGGAGAAAGGAAGAACTCTATTTAACGACTGCTTCGTAGGACCAAATTTACAAATTGATCATAGGTTTTTTAAGTAATAAAAACTACATAATTCATGTTTTATATTTTCGGTCGCTAGCCACCGCTTTGTAGGTTGGTTGGATCGCTTTCAACTGATCGAGAAGCCGTGACTAGGGACTTTAATAAAATACACAATTTAATTAAAAAAAAAAACGATAAAGGTATTCTTAAAATAATCAAATTAAAAAAAAGCGTTACGTCTCAATTTGTAAAACTAAAAATGAAGTATATGGTCATGACATAAGAGTTTAACAACTGTTCCCTTAACAATGCCAATGGTGCCGAGTTAAAGGCTTAGGAAAGACATGAACCAGGTGTGAATATGGCTTGCATCACTCCATGCTATACATACATCTATATCTATACCTATATATATATATATCTCTATAATTCATGATCGACTTTCTTTTGAACATAAATATCATATAATTATTAATTACAAGTGTTAAAGAGATCGATCTGGTATAACTATGGAAAATAATGGAAGGATGGCGGCGCTTGTGGTGGTTCTAAGTCTGTTGGTTCATGGAACCGTGGCGCACCCGTGTGGGAGCACTTTTTTCTCGGCTTTGGTGCAACTGATACCTTGTCGTGCATCAGTTGCACCCTTTAGTCCGATCCCGCCAAATGAGGCTTGTTGTACTGCAATCAAAGTTCTTGGCCAACCTTGTTTGTGTGTTCTTGTTAACGGTCCTCCTATTTCTGGTGTCGATCGTAGCATGGCCATGCAACTTCCGGAGAAATGCAGCGTCAACTTCGAACCATGTATCCATCCTATATACGTACATATGCACATATATAGGGGAAAGTTCATTTAGCAACCTGTAAATGTTTTAAGGACTGAAAAGACCAACTATTCACATATTATTCATAATGAATAGTATTCATCATGAATATCTGCGTTTGCACTATTATTGATATTTATTATGAATGATTCATTAATAGCTGAGTCTTTTTACAGATCACAAATGAACTTGCCCTTATTTATATATATCGTTGACTTTTTTTTATACCTAAACATGCTTTTTTATACTGTGTATGTGATGCAGGTGAAATCGAGAAGAAGAAAGAGTGAGCGTAGCGTGGCGTCCAAATTTGATCGCTCGATTGATGAAAAATTCAAGAGAATTAATAAACAAGAGTGTCGAGTGTGCGTCTAGCCCGTGGAAATAATTTACTTGTCGAATTTTATCGGTGCTCTAATCTTGCATTGATCGTAGGTTTTCATATTTTGTCGTTTGACCGTAGCTAAATCTTTAATGTTCCTTCTACATTTCGTTCGCTAATTAATGTTATTATTACCATCATAGAATCTTACTAAAGTTTTCAAGCGGTAACTCGTGTCGCAAATTTATACAACACGGAATAACTTTTAGTTATCACGGATACGAACACGCACGAATTCGTGAACGAGCCACGAAGAGAAGTTTGCACGTTGTGTGCTCGCTGGCTTCGAGCATGGTTTGCGGAGCAACAATTTCTAGACCGATTTTAAACGGAAGAAAATATATATTTAAAAAACAATATTAAGGCCAAAATTTTGATCACAAGGTTCTTGATCCATTTTGGGTTGCATCTAATCCTCAAATTAAAAGTACAATATGTTGTCTAATTAACACATACATCATTTACAAGATAAACCAGCTTTCGACCCTAAGTTTTTGAGGATTTCCGGCGGGTACCTGCTGATTCGAACACAAATCTGTACAGAAAAGCCAAGCTACATGGTCGAACCCGGCTGTAATTGTTTGCTTGAACACTTGCAGCGGGCTTGAGCTTCGTTCAAACTCTACGAGCCCAAAAAGAGAAAATTCATGAAAACAAGATAAATTGAATCTATCAAATACAACGTACTTTCATTAACCTTCATTTTGGTACACCTCGGATGTTATATCTGTTATCTCTGAGGTACCAAAATAAAGATTTTGAAATTACGTTCGGGCAAAACTGGAATTGGATCAAAATACGTTGTCGATTGATGTTTTGAGGTAAAGTGATGATCTTGGTGGTGGTCTTATACCTGCAGTTCTTTCTGGAGGTCTTTAATGTACTCAACAGCCATATCCAACATATCTGCTGTATTAGTTTGCTGCAAAACAGTTGAACTAAAAATGTGAGTTTCAAAATGGTTTATTTTCTTGTTTCAATTACATTCGGGGTTCGGAAATTTTACCTTGTCCATGTTAGGGAAAAGTTCTTGAAGCCTTTTGATTCTTTCGCTTATTCGGGTTCTTCTCACCTGAGAAATCGATTGATGCCCAAACGAAGATAGCTTAATATCAATATCAATGTTAGATTACCGTGATTATATGTAACCAAGATCAAGACTACGAATCTACCCTCTCGGCGATGCTTCGTGGGTGTGTAGCGAATCCTCTTTTTGCGCGTGCTTTCCAGGGGACCAACGATTCTTGTTGGAAATGCAAGATGTTTTCAACATCAGCCATTTCTGATGAAGTTTTTGGCAAGCTCATATGGTGAACCAAACTAGGAATATGGTTTCCAGCCTCTCCATTCTATAAATTACAAACATGTATCAGAAACTGTCGGAATACGTGGAACTTCATTATATTACTGTTCAAAAGAGCCCATCAAAAGATAAGCATAGCTTATAACCGGTGTGAAACTCCAACAGAGGCTAAACGTGTTGAGTCTCTGTTAGACCCTGTCTCTGATACCATGTAAGAATATACGGAACGATATCAGATTACTCTCCAACACAACCGGTGAGAGAGAAGGGAGGATCCAACCAGAGCTTAAATGGTCCAAGTCTAGCCGATTACGATGCAAATTACAATGATGCATTCTTGAATGAAGATGTACCTGTGGCATCTTCAAACCACCATCTCTGCTCCTCTTCAAGCTACCGAAGGTGGAGTCGCTCTCATTTTCGACTATCTGCGGCAAGAATCTTGATGAAGAGGATGGGCCTAATGAGAAACTGATATGGTTATTCAACGAAGAGCTCGATGAACTGCCTTTTCTCGCATCTTTCATGCCACCAAAACCTGATTAGTTTCAAGATTATAAGCAATTCCAGTCTTAACCATACTTTGAATCTCTATGAAGAATTTAAGATCTTATTTCCAGAAATGTAAAGCAAAAAAGTCAACTACCAATCAGTGTCAATGGCTATTACTGCTATGAACTTTGATGAATCGAATTGCAAGTTGAAATAAACAAAGAAATTAACAAAGGGGTTGAAATTGTTTACCATTGTCAACGGTCAAACAGGACAGAAATCCATCTGGCGAGCTACTCTGTCTGATGAGATTCGAGCTGGTTGAATCCATAACTCTAAAAGACGATGCAGAATCCAAATTATTTTGATTTGTATAACCATAACTACTGTTGTTGTTAGACGGTGGCAAATTAGGCGCTCGCCGTGAACTGCCACCGTGCATCGCAGCCGTCGACGGAGGTGGAAGATCCTGGTTCTGAATCGCCGATTCTTTCCTTTCCGGCTTTGACGACGACGACTCAAACTGTAGAAAGTCACGTGCATCAGATTCAGATTTCTTTTGTTGGTTCCCGGTGAAGTAGCTTTCCTCCGCCTTGGACTGGTGGTTCGAGGAGGCGGTTACCGGATCTGGAAACTCCTCATCTCCATTATCGTCGAGTAGATTCGAAAAGAATGAGCTGGGAGTCGAACGATAACGCAATAAAGAGCTGTGATTTGAGCCATGATTCTCGTCTTGTTGCTGCTGGTTATGATCATGATGATCGTAGTTGGGATAAGGATCTAAAGAAATCAACTGCTTGATCTTTGCAAACTCTCCGTCGGCCGGATGCTTGAACGTTGACGAATAGAGCAAAGAATTCATATCTCTGGAAATCGCATCGGATGAACCACCACCGCCATGGCCATACATCCTCCAAAACGTGCAAGAACTTGGATTTGGAATGAAAATGGATAATGGAGATGAATCTGAAAGGGTGGAAAGCAGAGGCTGCGCGCAGACGCAAATAGAAAGCTGCGAACTTTTATTTCTTTCCCTTTTTTAGCCAAGCAAACGGGTTGTGTTCACTTTTGGTGCCTATGAACTCTTTTTGTCTCCATATTAATAAATGTTAACCGTTATCCCTAATAAATGCTATAATTTTGACTCATTAATTAACATAAACTTAAGTGACAAGAAAAGGGGTGTAAATTGGTTTATTCAAAGGTTTGTATGATTATTATTATTATTAGAGTGATGAATTAAGAGATCGTGAACCCATCGACCACCTCCATCGCCAACACAAGTACTGGCCACCTCCATCACCGATACATGCACCCACAACCCACCCACATTTCTTTCTCCCTTTCTCTAGGATCGTGAAATCGAACCAAAATCTTGGAGTTGAACCGTCCCTGAGGTGTGAAGTCGAACTGTCCATGTGCGTCTCCGATTGAACCCTGCATCGTCTTCCTTGCACGTCCCTCATCTCCGATTGAACCATCGTTGTTGAAGATTTTAGATTTTAGGGTTTAATTTAGGGGTTTGATATATGTTTTAGGCTTTGTATGATTGTATCACTAAATTATTGGCAGATTCCTCAAATCAACTTCATGTAATCGGTTGGCCTTTTTTACTGGGTATATTCTTAGATGTTCTTCATTTTCCAATGATAAAAGGATCTGTTGGTTTCTATCGAATCATTTGATGTTGTTCATTTGTCACATAAATTTGGAATATGTCTAATGTAAGGGTATTATTGTTTGTTCCTCTGAATTGTGGATGACAATTATGTCAAATGGATGTCAAAAATGATTTTTTGCATGGAGACCTAGAGGAAGATGTATACATGAAGCTTCCATCTAGGCATCCACAAGGAAATGAACTCGTTGTAGTTTGCAAACTACACAAAGCTATTTATGGACTTAGCAATCCCCAACAGCTTGGTATTTGAAGTTGAGTTCAGTTCTAGTCTCATCTTGTTTCAATGCAGTAGTGCAGATACATCTTTGTTCGTTAGGAACGAGAATACAAGCAAATTGATTGTTCTTGTGTAAGTGGATGAGTTGATCATCACCAGTGATGACGTTACTAGATACAAGCTCCGAAGGAAGCTGATAAGGGGAAAATGTATAGGTCCACAAAGTGGCCACATTGTTTTCACAGTGGGGTGCAAGTATACATCAGACATTATATGATCATTTTCAAGTAATAAAGTGGTAAAAACACCCTGATCATATCCACAGGGATCGACCTTCAAAGTTTCGAGCAGTAGGTCAAGAATATAATGATTTCAATTAGAGAAGAAGAAAATATATTCGAACTAGTTTTATGATTTTCATAATGAAATATGAACAAGTAATTAAAAATGGGTATAGGTGTAAATTTCACCTAAGAGATTAGTAGCAACAAGATGGTCAAGAAGATGGGTCAGAAAAACATCTATAAAAATTCCCATCTCTCAAAAGTGAATTTCCATATAGAGTGTCCACAGTCTCCCCACAAAGTCATCACTTTTACCAATCGAAGGCTTTGCCGACCGACCTAAGTAGATTTTAGGGAATCTTAGTTCTACCAGTATAGAGAGAATGCACATATATCTATGTAACACCACCCTCAACTATCATGTAAAAACCTATATCTCTACGTGATTATGAAAAAGTTTCTCAAATCTTCTTGCATCACTCAAGCCGTATTTGGAGTCCGTCCATCTCTGGGTCTAAGACCTAATATTAACACTTTCAAATGATCGACTTCTCCGTGTTGAGTTACAACTTCAACTTAAGTAACCGAACCCAAGGGTTAGCAACGATGACAACATCCAAATGTTGCCTATTAATCTTAGGATGGACTCGCACCAACACCCAAAAGGGTGATTAGTTAATACTCAAAGTAAAGAACATAGTAGAAGAAGAGAAACACTTAAAAGTAAATTGCATAGATTTGGCTTTATTGCTTTTATCTTATCTTCATCTTCCTTGGTAACTAGAGTTTTGACCTTTAATGATACCATATTGTAGTTGAACTAAACAAAAAAAATACATGCAAAAGTGATATGTTTAACTGTCCTCAAATTAATTTTGTCCACCGTAGGGGGATTAGAAATGACCAAATGGGCTCGGGAACGGAACTGACTCGGTTACACTTTTCGTTAAAATAGAAGGTCTGGACCGGCCCGATTCACGACCGGTTATATGCGCGGCCTGCAGACCAATTATGGGCCCGACATGGAAATAGCCTGATTCTTTTAAAATATTATTCTTTTATTGCTGATATCCAACGACCGTATGACCATTGTTTCCATTTTTGACTGTTTTTTGTCTCATTTACCATCTATTCACTATATATATAAGTTATATAGTGTATGGGGAAAGATACCAACTCACAAACGCTCACAATTCTTGTTATAATTCATGATTTCGGCTCGTATTCCTACAAAAAAAAATATTATTTAAGTATATTTAGTTGACCCAATTACGTATTTTCAAATGTATTAGAATAAAACTTTTCTATTTCTTTAAAAAAACTTCCAAAAAATAAATTTTCTTTTCATATTTTCAAGTGTAAAAAACCGATTTTTTATAAAAAAAAGATACATAGGACCGAGTTGGACCCAACCCGGGACTAGGACCGGTCCTCATAGCCGGTTACAAAGTATCTTAACCAGGCCTCAGGTTGTTGGTCGAGACCGAGATCTGGACCGGCCCAGCATGAGGCCTATTTTTGGCCATCTCTAGTGGTGACACAGTGAGCACATTCCTCAATTCAATATTTAACCCAAAAATAATGCATGTAACATAAAAACATCCTCAACAGCTCCAAATGAAAATAAATTAATAAAAAAAAAGAACGCAAACACGTAAATAAGAAACACTACTAAAACAGAATAAAAACTCACACAAATGATGTATAAATAACGCTCATAAAGGAGTTATCAGAAGCTTTTCATCAAAAATTTGCAATTAAGGTTTTAGGAATCCTGAGGTATTTTCTTGGAATTGAGATAGATCACACTTTAACAAGTCTATTTCTCAATAATAATAAAAATACCTTATGGATCTCCTAGATGAAGCAGGAACGATGACTAGCAAGCCAGTCACGACTCCTATTGACAGTAAGCTCAGATTAGATGTTGAATCTTCTCCTCTCCATGATGTGAATATGTACCAGCATCTTGTAGGTAAACTCCTTTACCCTATAATAACTCGACATGATATCACTTTTGCTGTCAGTTTGGTCAGTCAGTTTATGCATCCATCAAAAAATCATCTTCTTTCACATTATGAGGAGACTCATTCGTTATCTCAAGGGGACTATTGGTCGGGGCATTATCATGAAGAAGCAAGGTCACTTTTAATTAGAAGGATATTGTGATTCAAATTGGTCAGGCAAGCATCTAAATAGAAAATCTACAACAACTTATTGCACGTTTATAGGTGGAAGCCTTGTTACATGGGAAAGTAAAAAAGCAAACTGTTGTTGTAAGATCAAGTGTCGAAGCAAAATACAGGGTCGTGGCCTTAACTGCTTGTGAGTTGATGTGGTTGAAGGATTTATCGAAAGATCCTGGTATCACAAGCAATACTTTCGTTACTCTTTATTGTGATAATCAAGCTGCTATGCATATCGCAAAAAATCATGCGTTTCATTAAACGACAAAACATATTGAAGTGGACTATCACTTTTTCCGAGATCAAGTTTAATCTATGGTCATTGAGTATAACAACCTAGATTTTGTTATCGATTAATCTTGGTATATTCATTTACATAACAATTGGATGCTTTATCTACTTGTACCCTTACTTAAAGTAGTTGTATTTTGAACTAATAATGTAAGTCCAAGTTTTATGTAAAAGGTCAATTATGTAGAAAATAAATTGGTCTTAGGACTAAAAATGTTAAGAAAAATCCATGTAAAGACTAATATTGAATTTGGCAATTGATGAAGGGTAATATTTGGTAAGTGGGAATTCTTGTACTAACTATTTAAACCCTTTAATTTCAGCCATATAACCCTCATTTTGCACCTTGCACTTCTCTCTCTAGACTTAAATTCTCTCTTCACATAAACCCTAGGTTTGATTTAACCTTCTCATGCATCTACTAATTTGGTGATATTTTGAAGATTTAAAGCTAATTGATTGAAGAGAATGTAAAGAAGCAAGGACCCATCTTAGAATAAGAAAGGGGCATTAACAAGTGGATAGGAGCTACGTGCTTACTTCATCGATTACCGTCTAAGGTACGGATATCTGATTCTTGTGACTTTCCTGTAACACCCTCATTCTTTTATTTTTTTTTATTTTTTTTTATTTTTTTATAATATGAGAATATTACGTGAACTGAAATAGATTTCCTGAATACATACTTCAAAAAACGGCTAAAATAACACCGTTTAAATCGTTTACAGCGGGAGTCTGTGAATCGCCTAAAAATTTACTTAAGTTCTAACCTGCTTCATACCAGGTTAAGTTACAAAAGATTAATACAACGCTACTAGACAAAAGACTAAAATAAGTTGATAATTAGCAACTCTCTAAGCGTGTCCCTTGCCCTTATCCAACTTC